AAACGTTTAAAAAAATATCTACACCACCCATTGACTCCAGGTTTTGTTTATGGGTACCCCCTGTAGAATTTCTTGACTAGTTTTCTTATAATTAACAGACTGAAAACTTAACCATGGATAGTGATTTACTTTGGAGTCTTGAGGCCCAGTTCATGTTTTACTGGAATATTCTTCATTATAAAGTGAATATTTCAAATAAAGATATGTTTGTAAATAACAATAAACTTTTATTATAATATCATGAATATTTTTGGTACACCAATAAGACTAAGTTGTTGGGTATTAGGGTGATTGTGTTTTATTTGGAAATAAAGTTTCACAAACACATCATACCTCCATTATGGTATATACTGTTATATTGAATTGTGGCTTTCTGGCAGGACCGCCGTGGAAACGGTTGTTCGTCATTGGCAAACTGCCAGAACTCCATACTTTGACGAGAATTCATGTCATTCCTATTGATACCCATAGAGTCCACTTCGTGGGCTGCATCCTAAAATGGAATTAAACCAGAACCTCACACAGATTAATCATCAATTCAATAAAATACTGAAATGTTGTTCATGATTAAATCTGTCCACATACTTTTACAAAAGTTTTAAACGATCAATCTGAAAACTAAATATCATTAAAACAAGCTTACAGTTCGTGTCCCAAGCAACACATATTCCCTTGTCATGCCATAATTATCATTTTTTAAGCAACTTTTCAAATACTTTGATTGGAACATGACAGATGTTGATTTCTACAAATGTTGATTTCTACCGAAACTATGTGTATCACATGGTATTGATCAGAAATGGATTACTGATAACAGTACACACAATCACACACCAGGTCTCCTCCTAATGTAACATTGTATCAAGTTTCAACCTTATCGATCATTCCTAAATCAAGTTATCATCTGGAAATCAAAAATCTATTTTTAGTAACAGTAACCTTTGTGGTTGATCTTTTGACCCCCAAACATAATTCCACACTAAGTCTCATAAATTACTGTTGAATCAAATTTGAATTTAATCTGTCCTTTACTCAAGTTATCATCAAAACATCAAGACAGACAGCAGGGGATAAATAAAAAAAAAAACTGTTATACTGATTTTTGAAATTTCATTTGCGTTAGTGTTTAATGTTTCTTACCATTTTGTTGACAAATGTCACTCCAGCATCGCCGTTGTCATTTATCTGGTTGCCATGCAGCATCGGCTGGCAGGCAGCAGTTATCCATACTCCACATCCAGAGTTACCTAAAACGACAAACATGTCACAGTCAGACTGGGTCCACCCATCATTCTATATCTGTAATGACTGCTATGTATGAGCGATAACGATCACTATGGTTACTAAGTCTGATTTATACTGTACTCACCTGATATGACATTGTTTTCTACACTGCCACGCCCCTTCTCGCCAATCACAATGCCATCAGATAGACCATTAGCGATGACATTTTGTGTGATGACAGGATCTCCCCCCTTTCTGATATCCACACCTCCCCATTGGTTACTGGTAATCACATTGTCTATAACAAGAAACATATGTGTTATCTAATATTCATATCAGAGGTCATATCTACTTACAGTCAGTACTGGTGTAGACATTCTACCTTTTTTTTTACTGTTAACTTTCATTTATAGTTCAACTGCATAGTTATTAATGATATTATTAAAAACTTACTGCTTACCTCAGTATAGACCAAACACAGTTTACCTATTACATAGCCATGCTCACTTTATTTACATCAAACAGCTTACCTATGATATAGCCACACTCACTTCAGTTACATCAAACAGCTTACCTATGATATAGCCTCACTCACTTCAGTTACGTCAAACAGCTTACCTATGATATAGCCTCACTCACTTCAGTTACGTCAAACAGCTTACCTATGATATAGCCTCACTCACTTCAGTTACATCAAACAGCTTACCTATGATATAGCCACACTCACTTCAGTTACATCAAACAGCTTACCTATGATATAGCCTCACTCACTTCAGTTACATCAAACAGCTTACCTATGATATAGCCACACTCACTTCAGTTACATCAAACAGCTTACCTATGATATAGCCACACTCACTTCAGTTACATCAAACAGCTTACCTATGATATAGCCACACTCACTTCAGTTACATCAAACAGCTTACCTATGATATAGCCACACTTCATTTACATCAAACAGCTTACCTATGATATAGCCACACTCACTTCATTTACATCAAACAGCTTACCTATGATATAGCCTCACTCACTTTATTTACATCAAACAGCTTACCTATAATATAGACACACCCCCTCATTTAACATCTATCTAACACAGCTTACCTAAGACATTGCCATGCCCCCACACCACCACATCATTTACACCACTCCAACACAGCTTACCTAAGACATAGCCACGCCCCCACACCACCACATCATTTACATCACTCCAACACAGCTTACCTAAGACATTGCCACGCCCCCACACCACCACATCATTTACATCACTCCAACACAGCTTACCTAAGACATTGCCACGCCCCCACACCACCACATCATTTACATCACTCCAACACAGCTTACCTAAGACATTGCCACGCCCCCACACCACCACATCATTTACACCACTCCAACACAGCTTACCTAAGACATTGCCACGCCCCCACACCACCACATCATTTACACCACTCCAACACAGCTTACCTAAGACATAGCCACGTCCCCCTTCATTAACTGCTATCCCTGCTGCTTTGCCACTATGAATCTGGTTCTTGCTGTAAATGAAAATAAATGTCAATACATCAGCTTTCTTCTCTGATTTACATGAGATGTTCACCTATTTATCATGTTAGGACCCGAGTCTTTAAGTTTCCATTGGGTAAGGGAAAGGAGGTCCTAGGTCCTATAAAGAGCCTTTAGGTCATGAAAATTTACTACATGTCCCAGTCGCTAACATATGTTTGACACAAGTCAGGGATGGACTTATTACAGAACAACTTCATAGTATGTTTTGGTAATTTTAATAAGTAATTTTTTACTTTTATCATATTTCTATATAAGGCTCTGGAGGATGTGTGTGTGTGTGAGGGTGTGTGTTTATTTTTGGATATCGATGAAAAGACTCCCATCAGTCTTTATACTTACCTCACAACTGGATTGCCTCGATACAAAACATAAACTCCTGCCTCCTTGTTTTGGTAGATTTCATTGCTATTGATGTGGCCCCGCCCACTTCCCAGTACCACCACACCAGAACGCTTCCCATGGTGGATACGGTTGCTCTGTAACAACGTATTGTCATGGTGATACCCAGCAGACAGGAGGGCGAGGTCATTTTCACAAAAAAAATTAATACTCTTCAGTCACTTTTGTACAGTAATAATATATTCTTAAAGAAGTTCAGTTAGTTTGAATTTGGTATTTCCACTTTTTTGTGCCCCCACAAATTAAAAACAAACAACTCCACTGTGAAAAATCAAACAAACATTATCTAAGCAACCTGCCATACTTTTCATGATAACCTAACATTAAATGTTTATATCCATAAATGATACCAACCCTGTCAATACTGGTTACTAAATACAAGAAATGAAACACACTTCCACACTGACTTGTCCTCTAATCTGAGGATAGACCTAATTAAAAACATGTTTATAGGCTTAGGAAAGTTGAAAGATTGAAATGTAGTCACTTTTTTTTTTGGTGGTTCCAATTTCTGTAGAATTAAAACAAATTTGGAGGAGAATGTATGTATTTTTCACAGAGGTGGTGACACAGTCTATGGTTTCTTCTATTCATTCTGTTTTCAAGTCATCGATGCCTACGATTATCCAATCCTCAAAAGTACAAAAAAAAAAAAACCACCAAAAAACAAAAAAACTTGACAGTACACGATTATGCAGACTTAGTTTTCCAAAGTATACCTGCACTATTGGGTCAGCGTTTTTCCTGATGTCAATGCCTGCCTCACAGTTAGAATGAATGTCATTTCCTGTAAATATAGGATTCAACAGAATCAATGATTAGCTACGCAATAAAACTATCACCATGCATTCCATTTCTCTCTCAAAAAAAATCTTCAGATACAAAGTTAATTTGTGTGCAGGTCGCCATTACACGTTGACTTGGCTCATCATTTCAATAGTCACTTTACCATCATCAGGTAAACAGGATACACCAAATATCTATTGAAAAATTTTTGAAGAGTTTAATTTTCATCATTTTTCAAATCTCTTTTTTGTGGAAACTTGATTTCAATGATAAATAGATCTACTTAAAGTAATTTCAACACTTGTGGACAAGGAAAATAAATCCCCCACAAAAATTAACAATTTTTCAGGTGCAATAAATTATTTGGTATTAGTTACTGTGACACAGCAGAAATATTAAGTATTCTGAGATGATTTTGCTTCCTACTTTGTAAATCTGACCTTTTCATTTCAATAGACCGACAGTAACTACCTGAGTGGCATGACTTCCTTTCACTTAAGTTGTTTAATATAATAGACTCAAATCTCTACTAAGACATCACTGATGAATTATCAAATGTTTCAAACGGAGCCGTAGATTAATCAACAAACGTACCAGCAATGAGTCCTGATGCTGCTAACCTCATGAAAACTCCCGACGTACGACTGTGGTGAATCTCGCTGTTTATCAGTACAATCTGTAAGTAAAACAATCCTGGCTTATTACGAATTAATTGGTTAATGGCCTGTCAACAACTTATCATGACACATTTCCTTCAAGTTGGTAAGTATTACAAGACTCTTTCATATGTTCATTTGTCTGTGAGGGAGAAACATCTCAGTCCTCTACCTGACATATGTAAGCATATTTTTCGCTCATTTCTCATTCTAAAGTATTGGGAGAAAAAATTTCGGGCCTCTACATTGTACTACAAATGATGCCATATTACAGAAATATGGTATCCTTTATTATGCATTTAAGGAGTCACTGCAATAACTATTTGTATAGATATGTGTGTATACATTGTAATAGGAGATGACGTCAACTGGGAAGGGACATGTCACATTTAGATGAGTGCGTGCGTGTGTGCCTGTACTGCATGGATGGGTGTGTTATACAAGAACAGCAAACCTCGATGTTCTGCCCTGAACAGACCAGTATTGCATGTAGAAATATATATATATACTGAATACATATGATCGATGAAGTAATAGCAACAGTAAGGACAAGTGAATTGTCAAATTTTTGAGGCAACCTGCCCCTTTATCAAGACACAAATATTGCATAAATTACATCACATTAAATTTGGTCTTATTATATCCACCTAATGCATAAGGTATTTCAAAAACAATGGACATGGTATTTCAGAAACAATGGATATGGTATTTCAAAAACAATGGACATGGTATTTCAGAAACAATGGATATGGTATTTCAAAAACAATGGACATGGTATTTCAGAAACAATGGACATAGTATTTCAGAAATAATAGATATGGTATTTCAGAAACAACTGATATGGTATTTCAGAATTAGAATTTAGAATTACCAGTTCATGATTATCGGTATTTATATTACGTGTTTAACTTTTAACTGACCTTGGCATTCTGAATACATCGGACTCCGTAACCAAGACTACTGAGGTCACAGTGGGAGATGACCGCCTGAGCCTGCAGACTGACCATTGCTCCTCCCTTACACTGACTCATACGACAGTGGCGAATGAGACAACCTCGCACCTCATCTAGAACCTTCTGCATGGCTTCATCATGTACGATGGGAATATGATCTGATTCATTTTGACTAGATATTGAGATAACATCTTCGTCAGCATTGAGACTACATGAAGCAGAGACAGACCGTGGCAGCTGATGTTCAGGGTATGACAGCATGATCACAGACTCTTCGCTTGATGAAAAATCACTCTCTCCATCCGATACCGGGCCTTCATCACTGCTGCTTGTACTGACTGTTGGAAACAAACATTTCAATGACTGTTATATCTTGAATAAAAATAATGAAGAGATCAGAATGGAATAATTCAAATATCCATAGGGCCTGTGTCACTCACCTGATTTAGTTAGCTGAAATTGTTTTATTTTAACTAAGGGAAAAGTATTTAAAACACTTTCCCCATAAAAGGCTTGACCCTCCTCCGAAAGGGGATAAGATATAGATGTTTGTAAATAACTAAGTTCTCTTCAGTTTCAATATAATAAAGATTTTAGATAATTTGCTCTATGTCCACTATTTGGCTCTGGCCGTCTGGTCCTAATGGACTGAAACACACTGTTCATACAAAACTTCCTTTTCCTGAAGCATGTCTCACACCAAATTGGACAGAATCCTACACAAGAACAAGATGGATTTTAAAGAAATTGATAGCTTTATCTACTGGGCCCATCCCTCTGGCCCCAAGGGACCGAGACCCGCCATTTATACAAAACTGATTTTCTTTCACCTATGCATGCTTCAGATCAAATTTGGACAATATCTTGCAATTCCTAAAGAACACGATAGATTTTCTCTATTGGGCCCCATCCCTCTGGCCCCAGGGGGCTGCTACCCACCGCTTACATACAACAGATTTTTCTTCATGTAAGCATGCTACAGGCTAAATCTGGATAATATATTGCAATTCCTGAAGAACAAGATAGATTTTGAAAAAACAGATTTTTCCTATTGGGCCCCGCTCATTTGGCCCCAGGGGGCAGAGACCCACCATTTATACAAAGCCAATTTTCCTTCACCTAAGCATGCCTCAGACCAAATTTGGATAACATCCTGCAATTCCAATTCAAACAAGATAGAATTTAAAGAAATATAGACAGATGCTGGAAGACGGACGTTGGAGGACAGACGCTGGACGTAGGCTGCGGTATCCCTACAGCTCACTTGGCCATTTGGGCCAGGTGAGCTAATAAAACCATCGAATCAATCAGAAAATCAAATATTAAACATTATTATAAGAACAACATTTTTCAGATAATTCTAAATTCGACTTCAACCCTGTTCAGATCATAAATATCAAATTTTCTTTATAATCTTCTCCACATATCTTTCATCTTAAATGTAAAATCAATCAAAAAGATAGACAAGTCAGTTGTATTTATGATTTAGGAATCATTATCCATATTAAATCTTAAAGGAAATTCCCGCTCACTTTCTTTGATACCCTGAAATTCTGAGTTTAACTTTCAAAGAAAACAGTTATGTTTGCCTTACTGCCTGGAACTGAATGTTCTGATCCCGAGTCATATCGTCCGATGCTATCGTCATCTCCATCAAATAAATCACTGCCACTTATCATAGACAGAGGTGACCTTGACCCACTGTCAGAGGAATCCCTTCGAATGTTTAACTGTAGTTCATGATTAACAACCAGGTTTGATGGTTGTCCATAATTTTGCTGTGTTACCAAGGGAACCTGTCCCTTGTGATCCGGATCAGCAGACCCAGACGGTGCATAGTGTTGAGTGATTGTTAGTCCGTGGGAATCTGTAGACCTGTCTACAGACTCCTGTTGAACACCTGAGGTACTTGGTTGAGGATTTCCAAGGTTTAATAATCCATCCATTGAATTTACTTTGGAATTTTTTCTATGAGATTCTAAAGCAGTCACATCTTCAGAGAAGCTAGCTAAATCGGAACTCGACGATTCCTTTAAGTAAAGTTGCTCTTTGTTAGACAAACTACGAAATAAATGAACATTTGAACTCGGTTTCTCTGTGAACTCCGAATGAACTTGAGAGAATTTTGCTGAACCATTGATACTCCTTCCTCCAAAACTTGGTTCCAAGAAGTAGGTAGTATCTGTTTTAGAGTCACATGACTTCTCCAAAGGTTTTTGATTGGCTGTGCAAGCAGTAGAAGCAGAGAAAGCAGAAGTTGGCACCGGTTCTCCCTTAGGATTACGACGAGTTTGAGAAATTTCACAAGCACTTACAATTTTTTCCATCAGATATCCATAAGTCCAGTTTTTTTCATCACGAGGAAAACCCTCAACTGTAATGGCAGCCGAATCTGTTTGTGAAAACTCGCAGTTCTCTATAACACTGGCATTAACATACTGAAGAATGACAGTAGCATGACGGAAAGTACAGAACTTGAGGTGACAAGTTCCTGGATTCTGAATATAGACCAAACCGTCCTCGAGAATACAATTGTCCACCTGGAGGTAGCCATATCGCACCTTCAAAATAGGATTTAAAAACATTCAGATTACAATACGAAAAAATTAAATACACAGACATTAATATGTTTTCAAAATCATGACATTACATTTTTCTGACTCTAGAAGAAAATCAATTAACTGCTAATGTAACAGAGGTCATTATTAAGTTCAATGCTTCCAATAGGATTTGAACCTGGGACCCCTGGTTTACTAGTCTTAAGCAGGCATTCAGGCAACATGAAACCTCAGGTCAAATATGCAACAATTCTGTTTATTTGACGCACGACATTTACATGTCACACGTCAAGGTAATGCTTGATTGGTGATCGTGAGTACATTGAGCTTACAACGTCCCATTTCGTCAATTAGCAAAAAGATTTAATGACTTGGTGTTAAAATGGCTGATTACCTGAATGCCAACATTTTAAAATCATATATCAGGAAGCATTTTTAACGATAATTTTAGTCTATATAGTTTGATCCATCATTGTTTTTTGCCTATGTTTTTCACTGATATATATTTGATAATACCACATCTGGGTGTTGAAAAAAGTGTCTTAAATCTGTGTCATTTCGATCCCTTTTGGCTCCATCCATCAGCCCCTGGGGGTCAACCAGTATCAATATGGGCATACTTTAAATCTGTCATCCTTAATTCATAATTCTAACCAAGTTTGAAATTTTTCCACTGGAAATTTAACAAATTATATTAAAAAAACTACTTTTCCTTTATAAACTTATGCTACAATTTACCCCCTACCCATGGGGAAATGTCACACCCTGGGGCCATGAAATTTTCAATTCTTGTAAACCACCTTAAGATGGTTCCATCCATGAAGAGACTTTTGATTCTATCATATCTAGGTGTTGAGAAGAAGATTTTTGAAATTTGAGTAAATTTGACACTTTTGGCTCCACTCATCAGGCCCCTATTAGGTGGGGACAATTTAATTCACTATTTTGTTTCATCTTCACCAAGGAAGGTTTCTGCAAAATTTCACCGAAATCAGTTCAAAACTTTTTGAGAAATTGAAAATGTTAAATTGTTTAGGGATACACAATGCCAGATGAAGATGATCACAACTGTTCACACCTAGGAGATAAATCAGTTTATTGACACTAAATATAACTGTTAGCAGACTCCTGCTTCAACTACTTGTGTCACTCAACTGTGATGTTGATAATAATTAACTGCAGGCAGGTGTATGGCACAAGTGACTAAAACAGTCATTGCAACTCAACAAAATTACATTTTATGTGTCCAAGTATTCTTATTCTTTAACACTTTATAAACAGCATGAAAAATTAAGATGATGTTTTTTAACGGTTAATATAGCACTTTCATAGCAGTTTGCACAACACAGCCAAATTTTTTTTATCCATCTTCTGACTACCAGTTTCATTTTTAAATGAAAATGACTTTCATACTAAAAAAAAACAAAAAAAAATGTATGTTAACCTGCAGTGTTTCAGATAAATCAACACCATGTCCTAAAATTTCTCACCTTCAGTATAAAGTTAGTGAACCATGGTGCTCTGAACACAAGATTACTGACACGCCCTGTGATGGCGATCTGTTCAATACACACAACTAGAATCACACTCCCAAGCTCCCCTTCTCCAACCAATTCAAATGGAATCTTTGACGACATTTCAAACTGCTCGTCATAAATCCCAGGGTGCACCACAATTCTATCATAGTCACGTGCAACAGCAAGTGCACTTTTTAAAGTTGCATGTTCCTTTCCTCGCCCAACATGTATTGTTTTTCTTTCTTTTCGTCGTTTTAGAACATACAGACAGGTGGCAGAGTCTGGTTCTCGTTGTGTCCGTACCCAGAACCGTGTGGACATAAATTGCTCTTTGAATGCCTGTTTCCATGACGATGGTTCAGACTTTGTGTTAAGTGGCCAGTAAGGGTGTTTCCATTCCCCACATTGTAAGTACAGTTCCCGCCATCTGAAATAAAAGAATGTTGTTTTTATTCCTCTTCAAGTCTCTAGAATTTGACAAGAGGTTGAATAGTCACGTTCATGTCACATTCATATCACGTTGTTTATAAAGAAAGACACATGTAACTCTAAAATGCTTGGGATGTTCTAAAATCTTTAAACATCTTGATAAGGCTTCACTGCAGCAATTATTATCAAATCTATTCCATGCTTATATAACATTAGTACCTTTTGAGAAGTTGCTAAAAAACTAATTTATTTATCAATCCAAATCCTAAGTACTCACCAGGGGTAGGCTCAAGAAGATTTATTTAAATGGTAAAGTGGTTCTCACCGTTTATCTCCAATGACAAGTCAAGAAAAAAGTTAACAAATTGAAAAAATATTCATAAGCAACTTGTTAATTTTTCGCTGTCTTTATGATGTGTATTTTAAACATAGAAAACAAATATTGTAATTACCTGGTGTTGTCGAGACTAACGATGAGTTCATTCCAGGTTTTACACACACATGAACTACGACACAGGTCATCTTCTGACAGGTACGACAGGATGATTCTCCAGATTTCGTACGGTAGCCCCGACTTGTCACCAGGTAGCACTTTACTGCCAACATCCGGCTTGGCACTGGGGCTGGACATTGTAGAGAGCTACTTCACCATGGCAGTTTGTGAGCAGCTAGTCTCATTCTAAACAAAATCAATGTACTGACATTACTAAAAGGCTAAACCAAAACAGATTCAGTTATAATATGGTGCATGATGACACAAAAGTTCGAGTCCAGGTACTGTAAATGATAATGCTCTTGTTGCTTGTCTCATATTATCATTTTAATCTACATTATGTATATATGACTCACATGAAGTTTTTTTTATTAAATTTTATAGTGACAAATAGGATTCATCTCAGGAATTGCATTTTTCGCTTCTACCAGAGACCTAGACTAAATAACAGTCTTCCAGATGTTGCTGATCATAGATATTTTATTAATTGTATAATGTGCATTCATTGACGAAATCTAAGTTACATACATTCAATACCACAGGAATTGGATGGTCACACAATTACTAAAGCAGTTTCCTGTCTTTTGATTGGCTGATAAATAGGCTCCCATCTATTTCAAAACCTGAATAGTTTTTCATTTATTGCATCATGAGTGCAATTGCGTGCTAACATTTTTCACACTAAATACCTTATTTGTGCAATGGTACTGACATAAAAATGTTATAACGGAAGTGAATGAATAACAGATTAAACTAATATGTTATTTACACTTTTTAAATACTGATAACTGAATACTTGTAATTCTTGAATGCATCCTCAGATTCGTGCCTACATCCCTGATGTATAATACCCAAGACAGGGAGCATGCTATTATTAGGATTTACGTATTTTAAATTTTTTCAATACTGATAACTGAAGACTTGTTCTTTCTGAATACAGATTCATGCCTGCATCCCTGATGTACAGTACCCAAGACAGGGAGCATACAATTATTGGGATTTACGCATTTAAAATTTTTTCAATACAGATAACTGAAGATTTGTTCTTTTTGAATACAGATTCATGCCTGCATTCCTGATGTTCAGTACCCATGACTGGCAATGTACTATTATCAGGATTTATGTATGCTACAAACAACCAAGAAAATTCAACTTTCCAGAACTCCATCAATTTTACAAATATCAACTTGAAACTCTGGCACAAATGTGTAATATTATCAAATGATTATCAATGTCACTAATTTTACAGATTATCTAAAAAGATAGTTTCTGAAGTCTTTATGACTCTTACTTGCACCAATTATCTTTCATTGATGACTTTCAGATAGACCGCTAAGAAAAGCTGATGCCAGTGATCTCATAAACCTGTATGTTCCCCCGTATTGTGCCATGTCAGAGAATTAACTTCAGATCAGAGCAATGCTGCTAGTTATTGATGCAAACCTCAATCTGAATAGTGTCAGAAAAACTTAGCCTGACAGATTTGAAAAGATTTTATTACAACACTTGCTTGTCTCATACTGATCTTATGTATACATAACATAAAGATGGCAGCGCTATTTATAGCACATGACTCCTACTAGGTGGTGTAGAAAACTTGAACCAATGAGAGAGCTAAGATTTATAGCTTTAACACCTTCTTTCAGGAACTGTAAAAATAGTCTGCAATTGTAACTGTGATGCATTCAGCTTAAAAAAAGTATCAGAATCAAAACTTACAAATCTATAAGGAAAGATAGTGGGATGGTAGATTTTCTTTTTTCCATTCAAAATAAACAATAAAGCACATAGGACATATCTTTTTATATTATTTTCCACTATAACGACACACCAGATGCTATAATTTACAAGACGCTGCCCGTGCCCATACCATTGTGACTGGCCTACGAGATAAGGCACCCGATAACTGAGTGTTTCGATATGCATCTTTTGTGGACAGCAATGAGGCTGATAGACTTATGATATCACTGGTAAACTCTGGATGATATTCAGCCACCATGATGCCAAAACATGTAGCAGGAGTCAATTTTTATTTCACTGTCTAAGCAAGGATTTGAACCCGGGACATCTGGCTTACTAGTCTGAAGCTTAACAGATCGAGCTTACAAGAAGTTCTCTAATGTGTTTAGTATTTACCAGGGTTTGTGGTTAGTATTTACCAGGGTTACATACTCCCCTCCAGGAAATACCTCGTCCTCAAGTTTTCAGGGGGTTACAATAGTACTTGTGAATGTAATACTAAGTAATATTTCAAAGTCCCTACATGGGTTACAATGTAACAGAGGTCATTACTTATTTCAATGCCTCAGCTCGCATTCAAACCCAGGACCTCTGGCTTAGTAGTCTGACACTCAACTGATCAATCTAAAGAGAAGCCAAGATTGATATTGCAGCCAGTACTTACCAGGTTTACATACATATAGCCTGTTTAATGCCATATTTTTCAAATATCAAATTGATCTTTTATTTGCCATTACATCAGCAGGATCAATTCTTGTGATATGTGTAGATAAAATGAGAGTAACACAGGCTGGAACAATGCACAGTACATCTGTTCCATGTTAAAGATATATTCAAGATTTATCTTTTCAAACATGGAAGTGGTAATGATGAGTCAACTTGTCAAGAGGGAAAACAATACTATTAAGCATGTCAAGTTTTAAAAAAGAAAGGTAAAATGCGGGCAGAAATCCCTGGACATGATTGAAAAGAACAAACAGCAATGACTTCTGGTCAAGTTAAAAACGTTGGAAAAAGAAAAACATAAAACAATGCAAAGGTCAATTACCAAAATTGTAAAATCACAATTACATTATGGAAAACATAATTTCATCTAATGACTATAAAGCCTACCAAGTTTCAGAGAAAAACAGGCATGAGATCTCCTACAAAATTGTTGAATCAACAGAATCAAACCATTGTGCATGGAAAAGCCTACCAAGTTGGATAGAAATTGGCTGAAAGCTGTAATAATTTTACTTAATGCATATTAATATCAAAAGCTGTTTAAAAAATCTATTCCAATGAAACTTTCACAGCAATTGTAAAATTTCCCAAACACATCTTTAGTGATGTCTCACCTCAGCTATGTAGTTCTAACTAAAACATACATGATATAGAATCACCTAACCAGTGTTCAAACACGAAACATAGTTTTTCACTGTTGTGTTAACTTAGAACAGACATGTCATAAGCATAGCATCAGCTATATCAAAATCATATACAGCTGTTGATAAATCTTTAACCATTTGTCAAACAACACTGGTGTAATGGCTGAAGTTGAAACCTATGCTCAAACACCCCATTTAAATATCAAATATTTACAATGTTGTTTTGGCGTCGTTCTATATAGTGATATTCAAACCTCTTTTACACAAAAATCACAGACTTTTATCTAGATGGATAATCTTGTAAAATTACATGAGTTAAAGGAAGCCTTTTATGCATTAATCAATATCTGACATCACGATTCAGCATGCGTTTCTATGGGGGTGGGGGGACAACATTTTTATTTGTAAAGAATTTTGTGCAATACATCAAATCTAGATCTGAAGCAATATCTTTCTTTTAAATGAGGCATATTTCTATGATTTTTTCAGTATACCGGTCACATAATAAAAGTACAAGTAAATGACAAAGATGGACATCGGAAATTGGTCAGTTAAAATAATCTATAAGCTTAAGCTTAATGTAATTAAATCAAACTTATAATTTGACGTACACTCCGATAAACCATTAAAGTATGTTGGGGTCCAATGTAATGTCACAACATATTATTACGATGCCCCGTAACAAAGCAAACAATGGTTTTGGAAAATGCATCTGCGGTTCGCAAATTAATACAATATATATATCGTTATCATCCAAGTAGCCTACCCTTCCGGGCTTAATTTGTCAATCCGTATTTGAGTGAAAACCAAGTTTCAAATCTGCGAATTAAAGTTTTACTAAAATGTTAACTTAATTCAATCTAGATTTATCGACAATAATTTACCTATCAGGCCACTTGGACAGTGACAGATGAGGACAAAACGATTCTTACCACCTGTATGGATGTAGCACCTGTGTGCTAGGAGACTCCAAACATTTGGCAGCCATGTTTTGAGAAATTACGTTGTGACGTACTTCCGGTCAATAAAACGTGGGCCCCGAATCAGGATAAATACAACGACAATAAAAACAAAGCCATGCATGCAGTATTGATCAGGAATCCTCACTCATAATGCTATTTATTATTTATATTTGTGCGTAAATTAAAGTACACATATAATATGGCATTGTTTGATATGTGTGGAAATAGCTTTATGGTTTCATTTTTCTGCAAAATACATAATTACGGCCTCTTACTCACAACATGGCGACCAACATTAGGCATTGCAGAGTCAGGCGAATGTTGCAAAGTGTTTGTTTGGCATTTGCAAACATATAGAAGGCGTTTGGTTGCAGACGCGTTTTTATTTGTCTCAAATCTTATTGCTATTGTCAAGAAAAACGCTTGTCATGCATATCAACCTCAAAACAATATTGTGAAAAGGTGAGTTTGAGTCTAATAGAACGTGTACACCGCTTTGCGGTATCAGTCTTTAATGATTAATGACAAGTTAATGAGCTGTTTGTGTAATATATATAGTACTAGATGTGAATTGCTCTGCATGTTGGAAGTTGTGTTTCTAAGATGTACTGGAAACAGAGGTTGTCGGGGAAAAGTCAGTGGTTTTGACACGTGACGTGTGTCAGTTCGTTGAAAAATGGTTTTATTGATATAATTATCTTTCAAAGGTTTTAATCATTGTCAATGTGAATGCAATGTGGATTTGATTTCTTCATGAAGAACAACCAATGCCATTTTTATGGGTTTCCTTGTAGTAACTAATGCCATCCAAATCAGTTAAAGTGTTTTTTTTCATATAGTCACCACAGCATCAAAACAGATTGGCCTATTACTTAGAAATTGGTAAAGAGCATCAAATCAAGCATGTCAGATCTTAACCTGAGGTTATGCTATCACAGCCCTTGCAAGTAAATGTTCTGTCAGTAGTAATTGTGTCGCCTGCAGAGCTGGTGGACACTTAGGGATCACTTTGTCCGTCATCACACGCCGGCGGCATCCGTACAAAAGTTTTCTTGATTTTTTTTTGTTATGCTTTGAGTTATCAAAATGAAATTTAGTATATGGTTTCTTGTTGGAAGGGTACACATTAAGTTCAATTTCCGACTGTCTGTGACCCTTCTTGGCAGAGTTATGCCCCTGTGAACTTAGAAAATTCTCTGGGTATATTGTTTTCCGGACATTTTTGGGTTTTCCTTTGAATTATTGAAATGAAATTTGGTATATGGCTTCTTGTTGGAAGGGTACAGATAAAGTTTGATTCCTGGCTGTCTGTAACCCTTCTCGGCAGAGTTATGCCCCTTTGTAATTAGAAAATTCTCTGGGAATATTTTTTCTAGACTTTCTTTGGTTATGCTTTGAGTTATAGAATTGAAATTTGATATTACAACTTTATGGTTGAACGTTGCACATCCAGTTCGATTTCTGGGTGACCTGTACTTTATACAGGCGACACATACAGTTCTGAGGAACTCTTCTTTCTAGATTTAAGATGCTATTTTGAAATATTACCATGTCTACTTCCACAAGTTATATAGGGTTTTCCTGGTATGGAAGAGCTTCATGGTAGTCTTACTCATCTTAATGTCTGAGGTAGCGTGTAAAGACTCAAAGTAACACATGACACCAGTGAATATGATCTAGATTTAACACCAGTAAATGAGATATCTTGAAATGTGTGAAATGTAAACATATTTCCTTCAATGTATTTTTAACTAGAACATAACCAAGGTTGTAACTTCTTAAAAACACTACCTGAATGCAGTCCAATGGATTGTAGTTTCTAAAATTTCATGATTGCAAATATATAGGGGAGAAATTCTGACTACCGATTATAATAAGAATGAATAAAAGCATGAATAGAGTCAGAATTCTATCATGTATGTCACAATCACTCGTTCTGATACAATAATGTAGGGAAAATATCACTTGGGAACACTTGTATGCATTAATATAAAAAAGTTTACATAGGTAAAATTCATGAAATTAATGCTGTACCTGATTAAATTTGAAAGTATCTTTAACATGGAGCAATAGATGCATTTTGAATTAAATCCCAAACTGAAGTTTTCTAAAATTTTAATGACTTAAGGGGTCTGTGCAATTGATAGTTAACAGCAAAGTATACCAGGTATTGTGCATTGTTCTGCTGTGAATAGATGCTTTAATGATGGAAATAAAGAAAAAAAAAATGCCATTGAAATCATAACACAGTATAATGTAAATGTCGGATAACCTTTGTCAAAATACAGCAAAGATTTGACACAGGCGAATATTTCTCTCTTTGTATAATTACAATTTGAACAATTGAGACTTAAGTAAATAGTATTTTTTCTTACATAGGTATTCATTGAGAAATAAGATAAAAGTTTTTCCAGCATATGACCAATATTTTGATAAAGAATATATGCATGCCTTCTTATCATAAATTAAATTTTAAACATATTACAGTTCTGCAATCTGATGGAGACAACCCTCTTGTAAATTTTATTGGTAGATTGCATTCCTGATCAGGGTCACTGCATTAGTTGAAAAAGTCAATCAGTTATAAATGCAGATAGGATGGTTTATGTATACTAGGTAGATAAATTAGAATTGAAAAAAAAGAAATGGTGTTAAATCAAATTATTTCATGTGAATAAATTCAGTCAGATGTGAAACACAAATGATATTTTAGGGTCCTAAATCCAACATATTAGATGACATCATTAATTTTTTTTTTTTAAGATCTTAAATATTCAGCAAACATATGTCGATGTAAAACTACGCCAGTATTTAATAATACAATTAACTTGTGTTTCACTCAGGGACAAAAAAAACACACCAAAACAATAAATTTGCATTACCTCCCTTGTACCACACTCGTTCATTGTTGTCATTTCTTTCAGAAAGGGTTTGTTTTGTGATTTTCTTTGTTTATTGGGTTTATCACCCCATGACCATCCAGGGCCATATGACGTTGGGTCTCCTTGCAATTGGGATGGTTACCTCGCTGAACAAAATGCAGGAGGCCCATCACAAAATATTCAGAGCAAAAATATATGGTAAAGTGTTTTACCTAAGAACACAATCATGGCAGCACAAACCAGTTCATTTCTGTGCTTCCTGAGAAGCACAAACTGTCACAGGTAGAAAGTATCAATCATCAGTGCAGTCGTTCACCTGAGGTTACATAGGCCAACACTTTGCTGACAGCTATTGTAGCCACTTAAAGGGCTTAGAATGTCGAATTGACTTAACTTGTAAGATATATTGTTCTTACATCCAACTTGTTGGGTATATGTTGCTGTATAACTAATGATAGTTAATCAATATATCAATATACAGGGTTTTCCATAAGAGCCGGTCGCCGGCCAATTTGACCGGCTTCTTTGATCATTTGGCCGCCTACACCAATCCAGTTCCGCAATAATGTTCTGTACACGACTATACGTACACGGCAGGCCACCCCACCTCGCCACGTTGCGGCTGGGGTCGGCTTGCTTCGCCAACCTCCTACTTCCACTACACAGCCTACTACTAACAAAATTATGGAAAACCCTGAATATAACAAAAGTAAATGTTCACTTCATAGCTTGGCTTGGGATTCAAACCCTGAACCTCTGGGTTACTGTAGCTAGTTTTACTAGCCAAAGAGGAGATCTCCTAAGCCGAGCATTATATTGAAGGAGGGGGTCAGTGTGTCTTGCACATAATGGTAAATATAGGCTATCACTCAGCTGACAATGAAAATACGAACTTGGCAACATAATCATAATTCAATCTCAAATTCCATAAAACTAGGGCAAGATACGAACAAAAGAAAGGTTTACACAGACATTCCTGAAAAAGCACTTGGAGAATAAGATGTGGTGTTTGGGAAAAGTAAAATAGAAATGCCAGAAAAATAATCTGAACTTATTTATTTTTCTCTGAATTACGTTAGCATCAGCGGAACTTACACATATGCATGATAATTGTTTTTCTCCATTGACTTACAAATAGAACAGTAACATTTGAGAAGTTGTTATCATGGACCACATACCAATACATTGCACCATCATCAGTGGCCCTGTGTGTTGATATTGAATTGGTTATTTATTGAAGTTATGGATACACTACATCAAATGATATAACTCTGTTGTGAGTAGAGTTCTTGCACATGCCAGCTGTCTTTTTTTCCTTTGTAAAAACAGAGTTGCCTTTTCTGTAGCAGAAACAATCACCCTCTTAAGTATGTTACATATTATATTAGTAAAAACAAGATCACCTTGTGGAATATGTGATGTAGAGTTATCTTTTCCTTAGCAAAAACAGGATCACTTTGTGAAATATGATGTAGAGTTATCTTTTCCTTAGCAAAAACAGGATCACTTTGTGAAATATGATGTAGAGTTATCTTTTCCTTATAGTAAAAACAGGATCACTTTGTGAAATATGAGGTAGAGTTATTTTTTCCTTATAGTAAAAACAAGATCACCTTGCGAAACATATAATGTACAGTTGTGTTTTCCTTAGTGAAAAAACAGGATCACCTTGTGAAACATATAATGTAGAGTCTTATTTTCCTAAGTAAAAACTGGGTCACCTTGTGGAATATGTGATGTACAGTTATATTTTCCTTATAGTAGAAACAGGATCACCTGTAGAGATATCCTTTACATAGTAAAAACAGAATCACCTTGTGAAATATGTGATGTAGAGTGGCTTGTCATGACTATACAGACCATGTACGCTGATGCTAGAAGCCTATTTCGAGTAGGGGACGGCTACAGCGATCAGTTTGATGTTAATGTTGGTGTCCATGAAGGATCAGTTATTCACAGGGTTTTCCATCAAAGCCGGTCGCCGGCCAATTTGACTGGCTACTTTGATCATTTGGCCACCTACACCAATCCAGTTCCGTAATAATGTTCCGTACACGACTACACGTACACGGCAGGCCAGCCTCCTACTTTCACTACACAGCCTACTACTAACAAAATTATGGAAAACCCTGTATTCATCATGGTTCTGGAAGCGTTGTCATACCATTTCAGAGTAAGTTGCCCATAGGAGCTCCTCTATCCTGTTGACCTTGTCATCGCTGACACTTCCATTGAATCGGTGATGGAGAGAGTGGCCACATGGAAGACGAGTATGGAGGAGAAAAGGTTCGGAGTCAACATGAATAAGACCAAGGTAATAATCTTGGGTCCAAATCTGGATACCCTAAGAAGATCAGGAAAGTATCCATGTGCTGTCTGTCTCAACAGTATGGGAAGAAACTCCATCCTCTGCATGAGTTGCTCTAGTTGGGTGTGTAAGAAGTGTAGTGGAATCAAGGGATCCTTTAAGTCTGACCCGAACTACAAGTACCCTCACTGCAATGGACTTGCTCGTCCTATTGATGGTAGACCCATGCCAGAGGTAAAAGTCGGTGAGGTAAAGCTTGAAGTATTAACATACTTCTGCTACTGTGGTGATATGTTGTCATCTGGAGATGGATGTGAACTTGCGGTAACAACAAGATGCAAGTCACTATGGGAAAAGTTCAGAGAGCTGCTTCGAATGTTAACAAGCAAATATCTGCCTATCACAACAAGAGGTCGCCTCTACTCAACCTACATTAGACCTATGTTACTGTATGGCTCTGATACATGGGCAGTAACAGCTGCTACTCTTAAGAGGTTTCGATGCAATGATAGAGTCATGCTAAGATGGATCTGCCTTGTCAAACCAAAAGACAATGTACCCATAGAGTTTCTTCTTGATCAGCTAGACATCAAAGATATCTCAGAAATTCTCCAGACTAGCAGGTTGAGATGGTTTGACCATGTAGAATGCAGTAAAGGATGGATATCAAATATGTGTACCCTGAATGTCACTTGTCATCGGGCCTTTGGGTAGACCAAAACTGACCTAGGATGACCTAGTGAAACGGGACTGTACATTCTGAGGAATGGGTGACACTAATCCAATGGATCACCGAACATGGAGAGGGAGACTTCGTTCTCGACTGGACAGCCAGGCCTCACCCTTGGATAAGGATTAATCAAAGGCCTGGATAATCTAAACTGGTTAATGATGATGATGATGATGAGAGTTGTCTTTTCTTTAGTGAAAACAGTATCACCTTGTGAAAAATTTGATATAGTGTTACCTTTTCCTTAGTAAAAACAAGATCACCTTGTAAACTATGTGATTTACATAGATATCACAACTTGAGGGTAAGATTTTTAGTGTGCAACATAAGGCGTTGGTTTATTCTTAGCTTTTTGTGATCTTGTCCAATTTAGGTTTTTGGGAGGGACAAGGTTCAAAAGAAGATAAAATGTTTTTCTGGACTCTTTTGTAAGTCCATATCACCTTAGCAATTGGCCGTTTCTCAATAAGATTTTCTTTGAATATAACCTTTGGATCTGAAACAATGGATTTTATATCACGGTAAAGCTTGACCCCTTTAATCATGTCATATTGTTATGTTAAATTCCAAAATGTGAAATATTTGCAATATTAATTTTGATATTTTGACATGATTGCGTAAGATTTGAAATAAAAAAATGTCCTTTTAGCCTCTTTATACCTGATTTCAGGGAGAGAATGATACCATTTGACACTTATTCTATAAACTGCTGTTGATTGTATGCTTGCAGGATTCCTAGAACTCATCAACTGTCATTATGGAGATGTATGTGGCTTTGACTAGTAAGGATTGGAATATTGTCTACGATGGGCCCGCGTGATGTCAGACTTATCATCATCTGACAGTAAACCGCAAGCCCAGGATACACAGTCCAGTATCAAGTAAGTGGTATTAATGACAAAATGAAAACGACCTTTAAATTTCACCACATTATGGTTATGACATTATATAGACGACAATAAGTCTACAGACCAACACATAAGGTGTTCAAAATATACACAAGTATCTAACATTCCTTTAAAATATCCATTATAAAAAACTATATACTTTATTGAACTGTGATGTTAGATCACTTTTCCATCTCAATTTTGCCATTTCTTTTTTTAAATTTTGATTGTCCTTGCCCCCTCCCCAACCCCCACCCCTTGGTTTCAGAATTTAGGCCCCTAGTATCACTGGCACATGCTAGTAGAAAGAAACAGTACAATTCAGTGGTTCTTATGCATCTATCTCAAAATTTGTATCGAAAGGTGATACTCACTTTGCATGTCTTTTGTGCAATTTTAGACTAATTATTGAGATGAACATATAACCAGGCATTGAAAATAATATTTTGTTGGCATTTCGACTCGAGACGCCAACAGAAATGTTGGAGCCTATTACATAGGTGATTTCTTCCATACATATGACTTTTTTTGGACTGTAGAATTTTCATGCAGATTAGTTCTGTGACATTTTGCAGTATATGTTGCTGCATTGTTGCCTAAGTGAATGTTGCATGATGCTTGTCAGATTCTAACTGGGGTTGCTATGATATCGGAAGTGTTTGGTTTGCTGTCAGCTATATAAGATGTTTAAATGATGTTTTATTTTGCATGTTTCCTCAGTAAAGCTGAGAGGCTATATTATTTACAATGAATAATTCAAATAGGTTTGAAATTGATTTTTCATAGTTGTTGTATTGTCTTAGTTTGAGGTGTGGATTCAATAAGTTAACAAAAAATGTCAGCAAATTAGGAGGATTTGAACTTACTGTTATTGCCATTTATACAACACACACTCAAGATAATATTTAATAGGTATGAAATTACACATGTGCACACTCTACACACAAATGTATTTTAACATACACATTAATATACACATACTTATTTGTGGACATAGACATTCAATACATGTATATTTAAATTACCATAAATTTGCATTGCAACAATAATTAGAATTCAATTTAGTCCATGAAGGTTTGCCAAATTAGCACATAATGTCTTATGGTTCATTAATATTACCTTGGTTCTCATTTTGAGAACCTGATATATTTCTTTGATTTGACCTGGATTTACTTGGCCAGTGTTCTGAAAAAGGTCTTAATATCCTTGCAAATTTGCAGTTGTTGCGGTATGTATTTAACCTGACAGTTTGCCTAGATTTTATCAGTTTTGGATTAGGATTATCATCACTATAGTAAATAATTGAGGGAAGAGAAAAAATTTTAAAAAATTAAAAGAAGAATGATTCATTACACTTTTCCCGAATAAAAAAGCTGATTACCTAATTCGGCAAAAAAATCATGCATATTTGATAAACATATATGGCATTCCGATTGGTTGAAAGATTGACTATGAACTTATAAGTTGATCTCTTATAATTCTTTAAACACTACCTGTGTGTGCTTGTTAGCATAGAGTGATATATTGACACAGACCTTAAATAGCTTTATGAATAATATATTCATATCTTACAATTGTGTTTAAAAAAAAAACACCAGAGAGGACAATGGAAAAAAAGGTCATGAGAATGCAATGTTGGATCCTTAAAGCACAGTTTATGACAAGGAATGGTCTTCGTGATGACATTCCCAAGTCTGGTCAGGAAATCTCTGGTGGTTAGACATCAATATCATAGACAATATCACTTTCTACTGATGCTAACACATTGTGATAGGTTTGTATTGATTACATGTGTGCATGACAGCAGTATAAACTCGGTAAAACAAATTCCATTTAACTCTGTCATATCACACTTGTCCAGTCTTTTGGGCATTCTGGTGATATTGCTACCATTTTGGCGACCAGAACGAAGTCTTTTCTGAAGTCACGGAGTTGGATGAAATGCGTTTATCTCGTAATGCTTAGCCTGAAGTATGTACCTAAAGTAGGTTTATATTTGAAAATATTATGTTGTATGACAGTGGGTTATTAAAATTACCTATGTTTAGATCCGTAGCAAGCCACAGGCAAAGTCATCTAGTATTTTATTTCTAATAACCACTAGTTGTTAAAGCAGTCCGTTCTTCATTAACTCAGAATTGGTATAAGTCTCAGCATGCACATAATGGGTATTATGTTCAACACATCACCAGTTATAAAACACCATTGTTATTTTTATTTCATCTAGTCTTCTACCTGTTACAATGAATATATTCTATAAACTTCCTCTTTAAAACCATAATGATGAGTTCATGAGTATTTGCATAGATAATAGTCATAATAAACTTTTGGTGTTGATATTAATTGTCGGGAAGACACATTGTATCATGGATGGAGACATTTTCAAAGTTGTTGAAATTTGATTATCCTTTCCCCTTCAATGTCACTGAGCTAAAATATGTTAAAAGTTTTTCCCACAATTTCATCTTTCTTATTTCTCTAAATTTAATTGACCCTGAATGGGCAAAAAAAGAGTCAAATTGATTGAAATTTCTTTAATCTTCTTCTCAATACCCAAATACATTATTTGTATGGTAGAATCAATTACTTTTCATGGATTGAAGGGTGATAAGTTGCATTACCAACATTGTTAATTTCATTATCCTAGGGTTATCTGCCCTTGGAAAGGGTGTGAAATTTACATTTACATTAGCTTATAAAAGAAATTTACATTTTGGAGCTTACAATTTGTTTATTTTCTATTGGAAATATGTCAAGCTTGTTTATAATTATTAGTATAGGATGGCAGTGTGAGGGAGATATGCACATATTGGCCCTGGCTAAACCCGAAGGACTGAAGTGCAAGGCCAAAAAGGGTCAAATTGACAGATATTTCAAAAATCTTCTTCTCAATACCCAATAATGGTCAATTCAAATACTTTTCAGTGATGGAAGGGTCTTTAGGTGCATTATCTAAATTGTAATTTTCATGACTCCAGGTTCTCACATTTGCCCTTTGGGAGGGGGTATAGTGTACTATTGTGTATATAGGAAAATTACATTTTTAACATACTTTGTTAAATTTCAATTGGAAGCAGGTCACACTTGGTTATAGGATGATAGTATAAGGATATGCAAGTATTGACCCTGGCTGACCCCCAGGGGCTCATGGGCAGTGCCAGAAGAGGTAAGATTAAATCAAAGTTCAAAGGTCATGATAAAATCTATTAAATACTCTTCTTGGATAAAAGAGTTAATTTTGAAAAAATCACATTTTTAGAGTGTATTCATTTTTAATTCAGATGTGTTTAGAAGCCATAGCATTTAATGTCAGTCAGTTATGCACAGTTTATATCTGTATAACATGTACAGTGTAGTTTAAATTATCTTACTGTGTTAACAAGATTATTACTATAACATGTTACAAGAACAATGACAGCATTGTAACTCCGGGGATTGTTAAGGCCCTTGGGCCTCTTGTTTTCTGCCCTTTTCTTTCACCATTCTTCATTTACATCACATATCAAGCTATTTCAAATTTTAAGAAGTCTTTTTCATTTCTGTCACTCCCTCCTTTGCCATCTCTACAGCTGGACATACCTAAGACATTTCTCAACTGTTGTAGAATCAAGCTCTCCCTCATCCACCAACACTACCATCATGTCATTTATTTTGCTCCTTTCCCATACCCCTTAGTTACCCCTAACTTTACATTCCATCACCCCACATAATCTATCAACAGTATTCTATAGATATTCTGTTACACATTCAGAGGTTTCATAGAGCTTTGTGTAATGGCCAGCGGTCAGCAACGGTCAAACAGACATTCTTCAATTCAGGCTTCACTGAGATTTCTGAATGGGGAAAACAGCTGCAGACTGTAATTATAATAAGTTAGTTTTTAATGCCCGGTGCTGGTCAGAAGGTCCCTTTCAAGATGACCTGACCTTTTTGTAAATAACCTCACATTTACTGAAGTCAAGCATTGATTACAAAGTGGCCAATGATGCGGTGCCTGAGTAGTACACAGTGGAGGCTGTTCCTTCGATAACTGGTATTGTGTGGTAGGCAGGCGTAACTGTACACGACATATCCCTGTATAAGATTTCCCAAGCTCC